TGTGAACGGAAAACAGTTGTCTGAAATGTTTATCTGAACGTATATTTATGTCTTTTCATGAAGTGTTTCTCTTGGGAAAATTCAATGTTCATGTGTGTGTATGCTGCGGATTCTTTTTAAATGTAGGGGTGTGTTTCTGAATGTTTCAGAATCACACTGGGAGCTGTTTTTAGCTGTTCCGTGTCGTTCTCCTCTGCAGAGCGGAATAAAACTTTTTCTTCCTTGCAAATCATCTCCCGGTGCCCATTTTTACTCCACAGTAGCATCAGTTTTAGATAATGATCCATTGATCATTCCTTGCTGATCGGGCTTTTCCTTCAAACTGTTAACATCTAACATGTCCATTATTTAAGACTAATCTGTCTTGTTCTTTTCTAAAACACCTTTGGATTCCGAAGCTATTTTATTTATTTTTTTTTTATTCATTTATAATTTACGTCACTGTGCTCAAACAGAACAAACATGTTGAATGAATCTTCTAAACTGCTGAATGAAAGAGAGCAGGAAGAGGAATAACCGTGTTATCGTCCTTCTCAGTCACAATCCAAAGTTATACGTTTAAAAACAACTTACAATAAAAAAAGCATCAATTACAATTACATCAATAACAAAAACAAAGATTATCTAGAAAAAACGTTTTTTCCTACAAAACAATTTACTTTGTTTAAGTTTATGATCTTATGAGTTTACCGCTTATGTGTTTCCTGATCTGCTGATTAAATCTGATCGCTAAAATTTGACAGAAGTGTTGTTTAAACACACTCTAAATTAATTCAAACGCTAATCTGGCCTCTTTTTAAACTCAGAGATAAGCTTTTATTCTCCAACATAAAATCCATATTGAACTGTGATGTCATGGCAACATTTCATTAATTATGGTTTTCAATCCTTTAAATCCATTTCAATCATAATTTTAGCTGATTTTAACAGGTTTAGTCAAGATTTTTTAGATTAAACCTGATATTTGCAAATAACTTAGGAAGTTTTGTTGAATTTATTCCATATTTGTGCAGATTTAAGAGTCTGATCATGATTCGAGCGAAATTCAGATTTTCATTTGTTATCGTGACATGTAGCCAGTTGGGCGTGTTAAAAGAACAGCATATGACAGCCGGAAAGTTATGGGATTAAATAACATAATGTCAGACAGCATTCAATTACATAACATCAAACAGATATATTGTTTGTTCCCAGTCAAATATTTGTCTACTGATGTTCTTAAACTCAAAGTTGGTGCAAGTAAAAACACTAAAGAAGCAGCACTCATCTCAATTTTTTTTTTTTTACATACATGTAAATATTGAGCAAAGAAATCATTTTAATTTCCAAAGAAATTCTGTTGAATTATGAATGAACATATGGAAATGGCTGCTCTAAGAAATGAGAGCAGAGCAGGAAAAGAAGTGAGAAAAAAGGAGCGAAAGGAGGAGCAGAAGGAGGAAATGGAGGCAGACAGATGCCTGAGATGAGGAAACACTAGTGAGCTTCGCCTCAACCCATAAACTGTCAGAGGCAATGAGAGCGTGAACAGATGGACGGAAAGAGGGGGAACTACCAACAAAAGATGAGAAGAACTGATGTAGAAAGAAGAGAAGAAACGAGAGGAGAGACTGGTGGAGGACAGGAGGCTGGTAGATTAAGGTTTACTCAGAGTGCTGAGGGGATCTCAAACATGGCATCAAGCGTTTGTGTTTGGCAGATGGCCGGAGGACGAGTGTTACAACACTTCAACTCGAATCGGCCCTTTCCAAACTGTTCCAGGGAGAGCCAGCATTAGCGTGTGTTGGAGAGGACGGCGGGATGAGAAAAACCCTCACAAGGATAGAACAGGCCGTCCAAACAAGGGAGGCACACAGTCTGGGTGTTTATCATCTCACTGAGCCGGCCGGGCACAACTTCTGGCTCAGAGTCAGCGAGCTTTTGCTCAGACCACATGTAGACCAAATCTGCTCGAGATGAATCAGAACCCAACGTTATCCAGCATCTTCTTCCTGTCCCATAGCACAGACATTATGGAGCTCAGGGGTTCCCAAAGTGGGGGTCAGGACCCTCCATTGGGTTGTTAGACAGACAACTGGAGGGTCGCAGAAGGGTTTCACAGTCATTGACGAAATCCTTTAGGGATATGGAATACTTTTTTCCCCCCAGCTTTTATTTTCATTACACTGTCATATTACAGAGCAAAGAAATTCACTCTCTGCATTTAACCCATCCTCTTGAGCAGGGGCGGATTTAGAAAATCTAGGACCCTTGGCAAAGACAGAAAGGGGGCCCTCTGAATTCAGAAGACAACACATAAAACAGACCCACCAGATCATACAGTCAAACTGATTCAAAGTTTTAGAGAGAAAAATCAATTTGACTGGATTATCTGGTGAAATGTAAAGTGCCTTGAGATGAGTTGAGTTGTGCAGTGGCGCTATAGAAATAAACTGAATTGAATTGAAATTAAATTTTCTAACTCATGAAAACCAGTTGATTGCATTGACTCATTCACGCAAAGGCAATCCCTCACACTAAGCATGCTTGTAGCGACCAGGCTCAGTGTGAGCGGCCATGTGCTGAGGCCAACTGGGGTTCAAGGAGACAGAAGCAGACAGAAAACGCAGCTGTAAAAGGCGGCCTCGTCCAGGAAACACACAGCCAAGCGGACAAGCTCCGAGCCAGTTCCCATGTCAGAGGATGAAGAGAGCACATCCAGCCAGTCACAGTCAGAGAAACAGAACTACACTGGAAAACAAGCTTACCTCGAACATCTATAGACAAAGGCATTGATTGCAGCAGCACAGCTGACACTCTTAAATATCTCACTCATATGCTTATCACTCAGTAAGAAAAAATCATTCATAGCTCCAGACAAAGCTTTGTGTTAAAAACCCACAAGTTATCCTTTCTTTGGTTAATTTAAACTTGGAGTCAAACAGAGAACGCTCACCTTTTCAAACCAGATCTTTTCTATATTTTCTATTAAATTGTCAGACTGTTCATTTCACAGCAGCCTAATTCCAGCGAGTGAGCCTTCATTCGTACCGGCAGTTTCAGCTTGAGACAGTCAATCTGGCTGTTTCACCAGATTTCCATGTTCTAATAAAGACGAGGCACAGAGTCGTTTCCCCAAGGGCCTTTTAAAACATTTTCTCAAGAAAATTAGCCTTTGTACAATCACAGCGAGCAAGATGGACAGTTCCATTACCAGGCCCTTGTAATTAAAGGATTTGTACTAATAGCAAATTTATCATAATTCCTGTTGGCTATCAAGTCTTTGACAGGCTATTTCATTCCAGTGCTGAGTTTCATATTAAAGCCTTCAGGTTAGTGCAGCGTCTTCGTTGTGACATCTAAACCTTCACGATGAAATATGTACACAGTCCCAGCCTTTGCACCGACCATGAAATATGAAGCCTAAAACGTTACTTATATGGATCATGCTGGTCCTATTTGTGCATTTGAATCATATGAGCAACTAAATGAACCTTAGAACCCTTTAGACGCCATATCAGACAATCTGCTTTTGTTGTTCCAGCCTAATAGAGACAATAAGGAAGCCTTAATCGGGATAACAAGCACCCGACCGCTGGGCCTTCCATCACAGGCACGGCAAACGACAGCGACGCATTACACACCGTTATATTCAAATGCTAATTCACACCATCAACCCCACACACACTAATCCCTCACTCTGAATACCATTACTGCAGTCCGAAGGCTCAATTTGACAAAAGTCTCTGAGTATAAAAAAAAGAGCTGCAGCCTTTGATCATCAGGCAGGATGAAAGAAAATGTCTTTGCAAAGTGAAAGAGATTTCTTACAAGGTTTCCTATATTAGCTTCTATAAATGTTCAAAGTCCGGGTCTCAGTGGTTTTTAAGACTATATTAAAATACATGGTAGGCAGCAAAGCCAGAAAATTCTCCTTATTAATTAACGACTTTCGTTCTCTCTTGCACCTACAAAAATTAAAACAACAATAAAAAAAGAAGTATTTGCATTATTTAAGATATGTTTTTTGGTAACCAGTTTATCCAACAAATTATAATAAAAATGTCAAAGTGTTTATTTCAAGTTCCTGCAGTGGAGAATTTAATCCAAACAGACGTTTCTCTCAACTTCCCCCATACTTCATCCAAAGTTGTTGGTTATCCTGAGCTATTTTCTACATGTATGCTGCTATAAATATATGCCGCTGGAGGACATAGGGAACACATTATATTTGTTATTTAAACCTTAAGCCTTACTCTCTCTCTTTGCTGTAATGATTATAGTAGATTATAGTAGATTAATCTGGTCTGTTACTGTAACTCCATCAGCTGTGCTGCCCACAGTCACTGGTATCAGTATTAATCAGGATATTTCCTCAGAATTCATTAGCTTAGCAGCTACATCTGAAAGCTGGCAGCTTTAGCTGTTCAGTGTAAACCAACGATCAGACTGGATACCAGCTCTGTTCCAGTCTTTCTTTTTAGACTGGAGGCGCTAACTAGCTTAGTAGGCTACTCAATGCCAAGCCCTGCACACATGCTCAGCATTGTACCTCCTTTTTTTATAGTAAATATAAACAAAGGGATTTATTCCCTGACAAGACTGAGCAAAAACAAACTAGAACCTAGAATAAACAAATTCCAATTAATACGCCAGTAGGACATGGAATTTTTTTCAGAATTGCTTTGTAGGAAACCAGAAGGAGCTACTGGCATATAGAAATAAAATAAAATTCAAACAATGTGACTCTGTCCTATAAAAGTCAAACTACTGGGTCTGGCTGAAGGTTCAGGTCCTCGTAGCAACCAGTTACACATATAGAGAAATGTGAAAAAATAAAGAATACAGACACCAACCGAAACAGTCAAGACAGACAGTTCATTTGACTGACTCTATATAGAAATAATAACCCCAAATTACCAGTGGATATACAGAAACCTGGATAAACCAACCAGCACAATTAAACCCTGATAACAGACCCTCTCAGCACATGCATTCAGTATAGTCGCCGCAGTACTCACATGCGATGATGTTGCCATATCGGTTCTTGTTGCGATTCTCGTCCTTCTTGGCTGTCTCCCACGGCGCCGTCTGTCCCTCTGCCAGGGCCTGAAAAGAGACATGTGGACATATAAAATAGACAATCAGCACACAGTTTGGTGGGAATGTTGGTTGAGTGGTTAAAGCAGTGCACTTGTGCTCTGAGAAGATTACAAGTATCTGGTTTGATCTCCACAGCCTCCACTCTGTGTTCAAGAGTTTTATGCTGATGAAGGTTCTCAGTCATCCAGGTCATAGTCATTCCGTAAAAAAATCAAAAAATATCCACTGGACTTGGTTTCCAAGATTTGAAGACGTTTCTCCACCTCTCCAGGAAGCTTTCACAATTCAAATGTCTGGATCCGCACTGAGTTTGAGTCTTATATTGACGAAGTCTTGTATCGCTCGGAAACATGCAAATGTTAACCGATGAAAGGGTCGTTTGGTTCCATCGTTGGCCTGTAATATCTGAAAGCTGTCTGTGATTGTTAAGAGTTGGTCGTTAAAGAGGTAATGTTCACCGGCTGGAGCGGGTACGTCCTTCGTTCCTCTGTGATGGGGCGGGGGGTTTGGTGATATCTGGAAGGGATCATGTCTATGATTGAATTGTATGTTTTTGAAAGCTGGAATCTGAGTCCACCACCTCTGTTTAAAGTTGTTTTTTCTCTCTTAACATAGATGGCTTCCTTCACGCCCCTCTCAAACCACCTATTTTCTTTATCCAGAATGTGAACATTCTGGTCCTCAAAAGAATGTCCTTTGTCCAAAAGGTGTAGGTGTACTGCGGTACAAGGCTTTGTCTACATAAGACTCAAACTCACTGCGAATCCAGACATTTGAATTGAGAAAGCTTCCTAGAGAGGTGGCGAAACGTCTTCAAATTTCGGAAACCAAGTCCAGTGGATATTTTTTTCGAATTTTTACAGAAGTTCAAGAGTGTTCTGAGCATGACCCTTAACCTCAGACTGCTCCCCGGGCGCTGCGCAATAGCAGCCCACTGCTCCCAAAGGGGATAGGTTAAATGCAGAGGTAAATTTCTCCGATGTGAGATCAATAAAGTTAAATTATTATTATAAGTTTAAAGTCATAGGGAAGCGGCTGTTCCATCCGATGTAGTTCCGAATTCTCCCGAGTAAATAAAATGAATGTGATTGGTCGTTTATCAAGAGGCGGGATTGTTGTGGCTGAAGGTTTGCAAGCATGTTTGGTTGTGGCCGGTTTGTCAGAAGCATCTTGCTAACGAGTTAGCAACTTAGTGCTAGTAGGTTCCCAATGGGAAATTCCATTGGGACCAAGTAGCACTAAATTGGTGACTTAGAAACTACACTGTCAAGGAACGCTATGGACAGAGGAAACATGCAAGAGGAGGAGAGTTTGGTGTCAGAGGTCGTGGATGAGTCTCCTCCATCATCCATTTTTTATTAAGAGGAGGAAAGTGGGGATGAAGATGTTGTGGAAGAGGACGCCAGGGCGGCAGAAGCTTGGTTTGGTGTAGAAGGCTTCCAGCTGTACATGTTTGAGCCCTTACCTCGTAACGCTGCCAGTTCTGTTAGCTCTACCCCTGCCGAAGACACATGATATATGATTGGCTGAATTTAGGTGTTCAGGCCAAAGTATAACTAACTGGCCTGCAGGAGATAACGAAAAAAACACAAATTTTAAGACAGGACTTTTTTTTTTAATAGAAATTTTTCCTTACTTTTGGGAAAATGTCGTCTGATAAAGAGAACATTTATAGACATGTTTACGACATAATGATTTGGAATTTAAACATGATTTCCCTGTGGCTATTTTACTACTTTTATTTGCTTTTTTACTTTTATTTGTTTTATCTTTATTTGCTTTTATTTTCATTCTATTTTAATGTTAAATTCAAGTAATAGTCTTTGTACTGTATGGTGCCATACAAATGAAACCTAAATTGCCTTTATCTTGAGATGTTAACCAAATAAAAAAACATATTATTTGCTGAAAACCAAACTTGTAAATGTTGGAAAAAGGAACAAAAAAAACCCATTCCTATCATATAAATGATGTATAAAAAGTTCTGGTTTCTGCTGTTGACCCTGACAGAATATTCACTCCATCTTTTGTCGCAGGAGAAAGGACAGACGGTGGGCGCTCCCTGCCAGGGCGCCGGACTTTCAGACACGACAAGGACGAAACCACTGAGCTTTAGTCTGTGCTTCTGCCTTATACGCTACTCAGCTTCACACACTGCTCCACCAATCCACATTTTAATATACGTGTCATTATATACAATGTCTTGTTGGATGCAGTTAGAGAACAAGGAGATGTGACAATAACGTCCTCTGAAGGCATCTGCAAAGCAAGTGAACCCCAAATCTCAAAGGCCGCCATATGGAAGCCGAACTAATTTAGAGCGACTGCTCCAACGCGTTCAGGTCACTCATATGCTGAAAATCTCCCAGAAGAGACAAGTGAACAGTCCCCGTTTTTGAGTCCATTAAGGGCTTAGAAAGGCCAGACAACAGCTTTTACTTTCAGACAGCGATCTGACCTACATGCACACAAAACAAATGCAATGAGACAGAAAAACAGACACCTGAACGCATCGCTTAGTCTAGCAGAAAATGGATTCTGGCACAGGGGAATGGGTTCGTAGGGGTTTTGTGTGAAAAAAAGCATTGTGAGTGAGTCCTCTGTTAAAAACTACATTTATCTGATGTCTGTATAAACGCAGTGAACTTTCTCATGTTCAAGGCCTGCAGGTGCTTTTAACCATCTGTGCATATCTGACCAAAATCAGCATTAATCTTCAATTTTAAGATTATAACACTGAGATTATTGATGTATTAAAGGTATTGTGGAGGACTTTTAAAAGACTCTTTAAAACTTAAAAAAAACAGTACGTGTGCAAGAAGATGCACAATGCGCATTTCTCCTCGGGCACGCCCTCTTTAAAATTTTCTGTTTTCATAGCTCTTACAAGCTTACTGTGTCCACGTACAGCAGGGACTATATAGTGGACTATAAAGTAACTCAGTTAACTGACCGTTCTGACAGATAATCACTGCTTTTTGCTCCATCACTCAACTCCTCCTCCACTGCTGTCGGGTGTTCCTGTCATTTCAGTTCTGCAGGAGGTTTCTTCCTGTTAAAAGGGAGTTTTTCCTCTCCACTGTCGCTACCGTGCATTATGCATAAGTTGGTTTATTCATTAAAAAGATAGAAAGTTCAGTTTTTGCCAGCGTTTTAGGAGATTCTGGGACGTCAGGCATACGCTGACTATATCGTCATGGTTTGACAGGGCCTTAAATTACTCCATGAAGCCTCCCTGCACAGCAGTACGGCTGTTTGGAGAAACTCTGATTGTTTCCTTGGTTTTAGCTGAGATCTAAACGAGAAAGTGAGCTATGAAATATTTCTAGTGCAAATATTGTGAAGGAATCGTCATCTGAGAATATGATTAGAGTGCAAATTTTCTATCTTTTCCAAAGGAAAAACCTCTTAAAACTTGCTAGAAAAAAAAAAAAGATTTTTTCTCTGACATTTAGTGACAGATGCTAAATACAAATGTGACATTTATACCATTAATCTAATCCACATCCTATATCTTTATACGACTATGATATTTTTGAATCCATATTTTATCTCTAGATCTTATATCTATTAAATAAATCTTAAATGTAAATATTAAATTTAAATGTATACCTTAAAGGTAAAAATGAAGTTATATTATACTGATATGCCTCTATATGTCTATGTATGCAAAGGAGAACTAAAGAATAACTACAGAAACAGAAGAGGAAAAATAAAACATTTAGAAACAGTTTAAATAGATAATCTGGAGAAAATATTCTGGTTATTTCATGAATTGAAGATGCCAAATTTAAGGGGGAGTTGGTTTCTGCTTGAGATTGAAGAGGCGTTCTCCCAGCGGAGAATAAAATACGTCTGGCTTCAATGTTAGTGAGGTTAATCTGTTTCAGCACAGTAGGTCAGATCGCACACGGAGACGGGGACAAAAAGGCGCCATATGGGGTTTGTTCATAGACAGGGACACAGGCAGCCTCTGCTCTGGGATCTGAATCTCCCCGTAAAAAACCAGCGAAGGACGTTCGCTGTGTTCCACGTCCACTTTATTAAACCTCCACCGCCGCCATGCACACACACATTTATTTACATCAGAGCTTGTTGCCTGGCAGAATCATGCCTGTAAAACTTCCCCCTCTTGTTCCTTTATATTCTTATTCCAAGCTGTCAGTAAACAGTTAATCACTCTGGATGATCTCTGGGGAAAATGGCCCACCATTAGTATTATGGTGGGGGATGTATACTTTAATGTTCTTAACTATATTGTGGTCTTGATAAAGAGAAAACCACAACTGGTGTGCCTGTAATTATGTAATTATGGTACTAAAATCCCTTATTTCTATCCTTAACTCTCTAAAGAATGCTAATACACATCTTCAAAAAAAGTTTAATGACTTTTAAGAGACAAATTAGATCTTTTTTACAGTTTCTTTGTCAAACTGCTTCTCTAACGACATCATAGCTGTTTCTTTCTTTAGATAACTCACTATATACCGTAATGTTAACACGAAAGGAAAAACATAAAACTAAAAAAAAGACTAGATTTATGTTTAAATCCAAAGCTGAAAAAGTTAGCTCCCGGAAGTAGTGTGGGATTTTAAGACATGTATTTTCTCAGAAAATACATTATTAACCTATACTATATCACTATATACTATATTTTAGTACGTTTACTATTTGGGGGGAGTGGAAAACATTTCAGTCTTTTTAACTAAATAAAATCCAGGGAGATCCCTGGATGTATAGCTGGATGCGCAAATGAGCCGATGGCGCATTCTCAGGCCGGACCGCGCATCTGGGACGGATCCGATGTAGCTACCAGATCTGCTCGGGGCCCTGTCCCTTCATATGACGTCATCATATGGCAATTCCACTCGGACAAACTGTATTGAACCCGTTTCTTAAGGATCAAATCTCTTTTCGAGTCTCAACATATTATCATCTATATTTTGCTATTTCATTGGCGATCTAAAGTAGCCGAAAGTAGAAAACAATCCTTGTCCGTCTTAAAG